TCAAAACCAAAAATGGTTAAGGTTCAAAATCACCTAATCCTATCCTTGACGATCCAACTTTTTGTTCGACGTATAGCGGCGAGCAAAAAAGTCAAGGAATTGTCTAGCTCAAAATCTCTAGGGTTGGTGGTGAGTTTTCAAAATTGAAAACGGTTAAAGCTTAAAATCACTTGACCTTGCCCTCGACGATTCTACGTAGCTCGACGTATAGCGGTGAGCAAAAAAATCAAGAAATTGACTAGCACAAAATCGCTAAGAGCTGGTGGTGAGTTTTCAAAGCAGAAAATGGTAGAGGTTCAAAATCACCGGGCCCGGCACCCAACACCAATCGGCATATAGCAGTGAGCGAAAAAAAGGGGAAGGGAGCAAAACTAAAATGATGTTCAAAAAAGCAAGCGCTCATACTCAAAATATAATAAGAGTGTCTGTCCACATCCCGGACCAAGAGAAATCACTAAACAACTCGACGACAAAAATAACATAACAATAGAGAGTGCTAAGAAGCCCTACAACAATAGGTCAGGTAAACTCGAATGTAAAGTCCCATCACTCTCGCCTCGGGATGTATGCCCAAATGTCTTGGATTGAGGGGCTCTACCTTCCTTGCCTTTGCGCTGAGCCAAAAACCTATAAAAGCCTGATGGATCAATGGTGGGATGCTCAGCAGATATCCACTCATTGGTTAGTTTGATGGACGCTGCCATCGCCTTCCCCCCATAAGAATGCAAAGCCTTAGCAAAATCAGAAGTTAACTTGTACCGCTCCATAGATGCCTCCAAATCCTTAGCGTACTCCGCGAAGGCCTTATATCTCTCCACTGCCTCCTCAGGAGCACGAGCCAAAATAGAGCGCAGGTCGTTTATCTCAGACTCCTGCTCCATAGTGCGGGTCTTCGAGTCTTCGAAGAACTTCCTCAAGGAGGAAATTTTCTTCTTATATTGGTGACACTTTTTCTTCTTCTCATCTGGGAGGGTTCCCTTTTCCTGTTCAAGGGCTTTCATCTTTCACTCCAGGGTCTTCAACTCAGACGCTAAGCGACGGCTTGACTCGACAAGCCCAGCTTGAAAAGCCACCACCTGAAAAGAAAAAAGAGAGATCAAGCAACTATAGAGCATGTAAAAAAAAAAACTTACCCTCTCAGTATGGACCGCCAGAACCCTCTCGATGTCATCAGTACTCCGACAGGAAATTGACTGGACACGCTTAGGTGTAACTAAGGTTCTGACTACCCTCATCTCTGAATAGCCCCGAGAATGGGAGAATCTGAAATCTGGAAGAGGAGAACCCTCACGCTCGGGCATGGCACTACTCGGATTGCCTCCTGTACCCTCGAATGGTGGAATGACCTCGACGGGATCATCAGAAAGTTGAGGGACCTCCTCGATGGTATGACGCAGCGTCCCCCCATCGTTGGTCTTCTTCATCTTTAATGGAACGGAAAGAAGGTCATCGTCACCATGTCGTCACACTCCGTTAAGGAGTCCATGGCCTCCCCTAAGTTGAAATTCATCATTGTACATACAAGATAGAGTCTATCAAGCTTACAAAAATAACGAATCAAGGAGTACCCAAATGTAAAATGAAAGCAAACCATGCCAAAACTTACCGTCAATAGGGGCAAATCCCTCATCGCTCCCTGGCTCGGGCAGGGACTTCAACATCTCGTCCAAGTCAAAGTCTATATCTGTGTGCAGGTAGTCAAGATAATCTGGTTCAACAGACAAAAAACAAGCATAAAAGATATAAGCAGGGTATAAAAACCAACCAGCAGGACGACCAATCCCGACTAACAACATATTACTCAATGTCAGAACTAACTCTAGGTCCACTGCAAGGGGTGGAATCTCGGTCAATTTTTGGATGTGTGCTCTCAGACACGGGGTGACCTCAACCTCACTATTGATGTTCAAACTCTGTGTCGGGTCTGTCAACAAATCGTCCTCATTCTTCTCGATACTTGCTCATAGAAAAAGTAAAATAAAATAAAATAAAAATAGAAAAAATACAATAAAGAAAATTATACTAACAAAAATAAAATAAAAGGAACGATGTCACCCTTTTGTAGTTGATCCTTGCGTATTTTGTACCGTCTCCTCGACAACGGTGCTAAAATATGATTACGCCCAAAGAATAACGCTGTAGTTGTAGTGCAGATTTGGGAAGTCGTATCCACAGGGAGATGGAATAATATTTAAAGGATCTAAAAAGGATAGATTGTTCTCTCAAGAGTGTAGTTGAATTCAATATTGATTGGATCATTCACATCAATTATT